CCGCAGGTCGAGTCCTTCGCGGCCTCCGCTCCCGCCGAGCCTGCAGGCCGAGTCCGGGCCAGGTCTTCCGCCGAGCCGAGTCCCGGCCAGATCCTCCGCCGGGCTGCAGCCTTTGCCCCATCCATCAAATCCCCGCTGGGCCGAGTCCTCTGTCCGGCGACTCCACCCAGCCAAAGACCGGGGAGTCGCCTAGCAGGCCACAGGCCACCGGCGCGCTCGGCTCCCCGAACTGGGGTCGAGGCAAAGCCCTCGAGAGGCCCCCATTTCTGCTGAAAGACTCCGCTCGTCACGGAGCTACCCCCGGTAGGTCCGCCATCTTCCGCAACAACCATTAACAACCATTCATTGAATGACGGTTCAAAGTTACAATGGCAGTGAAAAAAAGTGACCTGACTGTTTTTCACACTTAACGACCATTGCAGCATCCCCATGGTCATCCCCACGATCAAGATTTGGATGCTTGCCAATTGGTTCATACTTAGGACCGTTGCAGCGTGCCAAGGTCATGGGATCACCTTTTACAAACTTCCGACAAGGAAAATCAATGGGGGAAGCCAGATTCACTTAACAACCGTGTTACTACCTTGATAACTACAGTGATTCACTTAACAACTGTGGCAAGAGAAGTCGTAAAATGGGGCAAAACTCACTTACCAACTATCTTGCTCAGCAGTAGAAATTTTGGACTCAGTTGTGGCCATCAGTCAATGACTACCGATAAAACCAAATCAACATCAGAAGCTTTATAACTTTGAGAGTGCAGTAGACTTAATTTTAGGGAAATGGAATCAGAATTGTCATTTGTGCTGGTTTTTCTTGGTGTTGGATTAGTGCAGGGGTAGGCAACCTTGGCTCTTTTATGACTCGTGGACTTCAACTCCCAGAATTCCTGAGTCAGCCATGTTGGCTCAGAAATTCTGGGAGTTGAAGTCCACGAGTCATAAAAGAGCCAAGGTTGCCTATCCCTGGATTAGAGGAATCCCATCTCTTCCCCTGTATCCCTCTTGCTTGCAGTGTTTTGGCACACAGGGTAGAAAAAGAATTGCAAAACATTCTGTGTTCAGGAGGAAGGCTGTCTAACTGGAAATATGTGCAATGCTCAGAAGCCGAGACTTCCTATGAATAATTATTAATATTATCTCATTTACCCAAATGAATATCATAGTCTCATTGACTGGATGTTATCTCCAATTGCTTAGGTCCTACTTAATGACCTGAGTTATGGAAACACTGCTATAAAACGTCTTTTACGGACGTCCAGTAAATTTAATATTTTTAAATATTTGGTGAATCTTTTTTACGTTGTGCCAAGAGGTGCCATTATAATTGGTGTAATGTTTAGTGCCCCGTTATTTTTCAGCCTTAGTATATAAATTATGGTATTCAGATATTTTCTCCATAGTTTTTCAACAAGTCAGCAGCGTTCCTTTCGGTAATAGCGGTATCTATGAGATCATGTTCCTAACAGTTTGTATATTGAAATCTTACAAAATTTGGATCTCCTTTGCAAGCTTTTTTCAGGTGCAAAATCCCAGTGTTTTTTTGCAAACAGTAAAGCTGAATTTTCCATATAAATCCCAATGGACAATTTTTGCAGTTGTATTGAGATATTTGAGATGGTGATAATGATGATGTTGATGATGATGATGATGATGATGATTTTAGCCTAAAGTTTTTAAGACTCAGCAGGTGGCAGCATCTTGATTTTCAAGCAGCACTAAGTTACAACAGGCTACAATACAGATACCATTCAGATGGGAAATCCTTAGGAAATTGTGGGGCAATAGGCTAGGGTGGACAGTTCAAACAAATCTGGGAAGAAAACAATCAATTCTAGAACATTGTGTGATCATAAGCAAGAGTTAAGTTCAAATAAAGGGCACATTTACCTTTTTTTTTTTCCTTTTTCAGTTTAAAAAGTTAGGTCACGTTTTTATTTTTCTGCCAAAAGCACTGTAAACCCTCCTTACTTTTCTTATCTTCCATTCCAGTGTGGAGAATAGAATAATGCAAGGGATTGTTGTTTATTATGAAAGTGCAGGTCAAGGAGATAAAGAGGAAGAAGGGCAGTCGTGGTTGAAAAATCCCTAGAATTGTTTTGACCCACTCTTTTCCTACACTTACTGCTTTTTCTTTTTCTGTCCAAATTCAACATCCATTTTCGTGCACCTAAAAAAAAAAAGAAGTATATTTATGATAGCTGGGTATAAGTGGCTTTTCTAAATGTTCCACCAAATGTGTGGATGTTTGCTTTTTTTAAAAAAAATTCTCCATGGGGGGGAAAACCTCTCAGCTGTTTCTCAAGAGAAGAATTCTGAAAGAGTTCATAGAAGGTGTTCCTCACTTTGGGCTGAAAAATAAGGTAGGAAGCCAGAAAGCCTGCAGACTGCCAGAAAGATAGATACCAATATAATGGAAGACAGAACATTTGTACATCCTTTTTGGCCTCCCACAATCACCCCATTCTCACATTCTCATCTCTGAAAGAAAAGTGAAGGTTGGGAACTGGCCTGCTACTAGTATACCCAGAGAGAGAACAAAACACTTGAGTAAAGAACAGGTAGGTGTGGTTGGTATTTGTGGTGCTTAACTGTTGATCTGTCAGAGGTCTACAAGATTTATCAAACCCCTCCAAAATAAAAATCCATTCTGCTTTAAAGGAGAAATTCTTGGCATTTTTGGATCTCTAGTGCCACTTCAGCATCTCTTGAGGAGCAGAAATGTATTTATGGAGATTCTCAGTCATTCAAGTCATGGTTGTCCCAAAGGTGTTTTTCAAAAGGCAACTGGGCTTCCCCCCCCTTTCTTCAAGGAAAAAAAAGTCTAGTTGTCTTTTGAAAAACACCTTTGGGAGTAGAAATGTAGTAGACTGTAGTCCAGAGTTGCAGGGGAAGGAAGGGCCCTTTCCCAGAGAGCAAAGAGACAACATAGCTTAGAATCTTTGGTATGCAGGAAGAGGCTGAAGGCGGACACCCACTAGCAGTCCAAAGGTGCTTTTTCACAAGGACTTCCTTGTTTTTCTTTGAAGACGTTTCACTTCTCATCCAAGAAGCTTCTTCAGTTCTGACTGGACGGTGGGGAAGCTTCTTGGATGAGAAGCAAAGAAAGCCCAGTTGCCTCGTGAAAAAGCACCTTTGGACAACCATGACCTGGATGACCGAGACTCTCCATAGACACCCCCTAGCAGTTCACAGGGTAATAGTTATGTAGATACAGGTAGTTCTCGACTTACAACAGTTCATTTAGTGACCGTTCAAAGTTACCACTTCACTAAAAAAAAGTGACTTACTACCATTTTTCACCCTTATGACCGTTGCAGCATCCCCATGGACACATGAACAAAATTCAGACACTTGGCAACTGACTCATATTTATGAAGGTTGCAGTGTCCCCAGGTCATGTGATCTCCTTTTGCGACCTTCTGACAAACAAAGTCAATGGGGAAGCCAGATTCATTTAACAACCGAGTTCCTAACTTAACAACCGCAGCGATTGACTTAACAACTGCGGCAAGAAAGGTTGCAAAATGGAGCAAGTTCACTTAACACATGTTTCGCTTAACAACAGAAACGTGGGGCTCAATTGTCATAAGTCAAGGGCTACCTGTAATTGATTTAGTCTAGCAAGATTTCTGTCTATAGGTGAACAACGATAAAGAAAGTACTCTGAACTAACTCCTTGTGTTGTTCTTGGTCTTTTGGGCTTGACATTAATCTTGCTGGATTAATCAATTACCTGCATACAAGATGTATTCTGTGAGTTGCTAGGTGGGGATTCACCTTCACCCTCCTCTTCAAAGACTTGAAGCTATGTTGTCTCTGCTCTCTGGGAAGGAGTCCCTCCCTCCCTCCCTCCTGAGACAGTAGATTACATTCTACCCACAAGAAACAAGGATATCTGCCCATAAGCCATTTTTGAAAGCAACAGTGAAGGTCTGGTGATGCTTCTCATTGCCCTCATTGTGTATCTTCTCTATCTTCTCTTTCAGTGGTCCATGCAGTCCGTTCCGAAGATGGGGCCGTTGAGAATGGTGTCCACCAGCTCAGCTCATCCGAAGTGGATGAGCTCATCCATAAGGCCGATGAAGTTACCCTGAGTGAAGTCTCTGAGAAGGCTGCCAAAGAAGCCCAAAGCAATCTCCCAAGTCAGAAGGTCACCCCCCGGAAGGAAATCACAGGTGTGCAGGCTAAACCAATGGAGAGTCCCAAGCTTGGGGGTGAAGGCCCAGAGCCTAGCAAAGAACAACCTGTCACCATGATCTTCATGGGGTACCAGAATGTGGAAGATGAAAATGAAACCAAAAAGGTGCTGGGGCTCGAAGGAGAGCAAATCAAGGCCGAGCTGGTGGTGATAGAAGATGCTGAAAATAAGCCAGCAGGAGACTACACAGCAGATCACGCCCCTCCAAATGGCAGCGCGATGGAACCTCAGGAGGAGGAGAACCAAGTTGGAGCACAGCCATCGGCCAATGACACGGACCCCAAAGAAGCAGACCAGGATCTTGACATGAAGAAACAGCGTTGTAAATGCTGCTCGGTTATGTAAGAGGCCCTTGCCAAGCCCCTCCCTCAACTGTACAGCCAATCAGGACTGCCTTTTCCCATCATTCTCACCTGGACACCTTGACTCCGCCTCTCCGGTTAACTTCTCAATTCTACAAAAGTCTTGAGTTCAAAGTGTTGCTATTTTTACTTAACAAAATGTGCTATTTGCATCCCCCAAGGATGTTTTTCCCCCCTTATTTTCAAGTGACTGGGGGAATATAAGTGCAGTGCTGGTGAAATCGTGCAAAATAGCCAACAATGACACCAAGCTGCCAGTCTGGGGTTTTGTTTTTTTTCTGCCTCCATTAACTCCTTTATTCATTGTTTCATAAAGGAACAAACCCAAAATTTAATGATGGAAGTGATCAGTCACTGCAGTCCCTTTTCTTTCTTATTTGGACATTTTAAATTGTAATGGCTGAATATACCTGGAGACCTTTCGATTAGAAATGAAAAAAAAAGCGAATGCTTCCCCACGGTTCAGCCCCGTTTCCATTTTCTGAAATGTTTGAAAAAAGAAAATTAATTGATCAAGAAAGGAGACTCACCATTCTTGGCTTCCTCTTGAAACTTCTGAATCTTTTGAAATCCAAATATCTTTGGTATCTCCCAAAGTCCTTCACATCGTAATTTACTAAGTTCCTTAAGAATACTGCTAACAAAAATCTTCTACAATGGGAATGTTAAGATCAAGCAAACCAACAATCAAGCAAACCAAGTTTTTCACAAGTTTTAAAAATAGGTCAACTCATTTTCTGCGCACCACAGAACTTGGTCTTGATCCAAAGCATCCAGAAGTTGGAAACCGGTTTCGCCTCCAAAATAACTCCATAACATCTTCTCAAGAATTTATTGGCCTCCCCATCCTGTTGGTTGCAGGAGCTTTGACAAGGTTGCAATGGTTGAGCTTTAAAGCTCTGAAAAAGAAAAAACTGGGTTGATTTTGTATGTTTTCTTTTTTCTTTTTCCAAATGCCATGGTAACGACTACTCTGGACTATAAGACTCTATGGTTGATGTCCAAGTAGACTTTATGATTCAGAGTCCCAGTTGATGATAAGAATTATTGACACTAAATGTATATTTTGTGGCTGTTAGACCAGTCTTCCCCAACCTAGGACTTACACATTGGACCATTTGGCTGCAGATGACGGGAACTGTCATCTAACACATCTGAAGGGCATCTAGATTGGGAAAAGATACGATGGATTCGGTCAGTGGAACAGAGAACTCAGTTGGACTGTCAGGTGCTCAGGTGCTCTGGACTGTTAGGATAGAAGAACCGTCCAATGAAAGACTGGTGGGGGAGGGATGGGAGGGTCACAGGCTTCCCGGATGGAAGAGGCAAAATGCATTTAAAACCAACAGTAAGCAAAGACCCAGGATGGGAAATCATTTAGAGGTAAAAAGAAGAAATTCTCAGCCATTGGCACAAAGTGAATAATAGTGAAACTGTAGAAGAGATACAATTGGTGCTAGCCAACTGGCACCAAGGTTCCTGATCAAGAAGAAAGGTCTCTGATATCAATTGGGGGGGGGGGTGGGCATTGTTCTGAAAACACTTCCTTCTCTCTGCTTCCTCCTCAAGTCTTTTAAGGGGAAAAGTGCCCTTGGCACTATTAGATATTTAACAACAAGTCTTCCCCTCCCTCCTCCTCATTTTTATCTGGGCCTTTCCCGTTTTTATTTACATCCTTTAAAGGGTTCTTCAGTTCAAGGCTGCTTCACAAACATTTCTTCTAATTGGTGGAGATTGGAATTTTTGGAGAAGAAGATTCAAAAGGTGCTGACTATCTCATCCCCTAAAGAAACGAGAGCCTGTCACACGTCTCTGCTTCCATTCCTGAGATGTTACAACCTGAAGTGCCAAATTAAACGGTTCCACCTCAGCTACCGAGACAAATAACATAAGTAGTATTTGGGTTTTGCTGGGGCAACCTTCTCTGAATTTGCAGTCCCCAGTTGTATGGAGACCACAGCTTCCGGGGCTCCCACCTGGCATAAATCTGTCAACCTAGAATTCTGGGAAATGTAGTATCACGTTAAGTCTGGAGGTTTCAGATTGTGGAAGATTTATCCCATATATTTGAAATCAGAGGCTATATATAGATATATAAAATATCTCCAGGCTAATCATCCTTCTGGCCATGATTATACTTAGTTAATAGGGCATCTTAATTTCTCTTTTGCTTAACTAAGACCCACAGATTGGCCTTGCTTTCTAAGCTATTCCCCAGCTTAGGCCCCAGCTTCGTGCTGGTCAATTTGTCTGTGGGGCATCTGCAGAGCAGTTTCATAACTATACTTCCTGTTGTTCTACTCCTTTTTAGATTATCAGCACAACTTTCTTTTCAAGAATGTGACTCAAAGCTCTAAGATGGATGATCTTAGAAAATATGGAGTGGGGCTCAGGGATGGAATCAAGAAACATCCGTTCCCCCTCAATTCAGCTGAAAGCAAGATTCCCACTGAGCCTTTTAAACATGATTTGCTGAAAAGATGAAAGATAAAGCTCTAGCAATCTCAACAAGTTCCAAATTTATCGTTCTGTTTCTTTGGACTGAGACTTTCTCATTTGTTTTTTGTGATCTGGTATTTAGTTGTTCTTCTTCCAGATAATAGTCAAGTGTGTAGATATTTGTTTTCAAAGCATCACCTGAATCTTTCCCAAGCTCTGAACAAACCATTGCATCAGTTTCCCCAAATATTATATCTTCCAAATGTTGTATCAGGGTTTCCAGCTTCTCCATGAACCCACACAAGTGCTAGGAGCAGACCTTAACAAGTCTTTGGATCTGATGGAGAAGCAGTGAAGAAACGGTTACATGGTGGAGAAGACCCCCTGTGCACATAAGGGTGTTTCCAATGAGGCCTTGCAGGTTTTTTTCATCCCCAAACACTACAATCCTATAGATCAGTATCCATGAATTTTAGGATTTTGGAGTATATTCCCTATTTCATCTCCCCAAAAGTTTGAGGTTTGTGACAGACAAGCTGGTCAAATAGAATCTGATACCATAGTTGCAATGTTAGGGTTCCAAGTTGAAGTAAGCCATTTTGAGGACATTTCCTTCCATTGACCAAAAGAATCTGGAAGAAGAGTTTTCCATAGCGATATCATTCAAGCATCTTCTTCCATCTGTATTCATAAAATGCATCCGTGCAAAGTTTTAAGGCAGCAGTCACTGGGTGAGCTTCTTTTGCACATTTCTGCGTGGCTTGACAATCATATTTTTCTGAAGGACATCGTCCTGTTACCTTTCTCCTTCCATGTTCTGCTTCCTTATTTTCCTGTAACTAGCAAAGCAGCAGGCTTATTGGAAGAAGCCATGCAGAGATGCCCTGTTACCTCTTTCACCAGAAATGTTAGGCAAGGATCAAACTTGAACCTTTTGCCTTTACAATGAGATGTAAACCTCTCCTAATTCAGATTATTTGTCCATTGTGATCAGGGATGGCTACTCAGGATAACAGTAGCCCTAAAACGAAGCAGCCAATTGAATCTGGAAGTTTTGACATTCAAAGCATATAGGCTGTCCTGTTTGAACAATGGGTGTTCTTCAAATTCACCTTCTTTAAAAATGTCCTAAATTTGCAAACCTTGATGAAGAGTTGAATGCGATCTTAAAGAGGAGGGGGCAAGATTCCATGGTTTGACCATTATGTAGTCCACCTGCAGCTAATCCTTAGAGATGGAGAAGAAATTTAGCACTCCAGCATTGAGATGATCAGCATCTAAGAATGTGATCTGGGTTATCTTCTGAGGGCAAATCACAGAACTGGGGCTGATGCAGAAATCTCAACACTAATACAGGTGAGCTTTCTCAACATTTGTATGAATTCTCACTTGTATAGCTGGGGTTCCACATGATAATGTGGGCAATAAAAAATAGAGATGGGGCTGAGCTGCTTCTACTATGTCATTTAGAACAGTATTTCTCAACCTTGACAACTTTTAAGATGCATGGAACTTCAACCCCCAGAATTCCTCAGCCAGCATGCTGGATGGGGAATTCTGGGTGTTGAAGTCCATGCAACTTAAAAGTTATCAAGGTTGAGAAACACTGCATTAGAGCTTGGTAATTTGCATTCAATCAGTGCCAGACAATAATTCACATGTGGACTATGCCTTAGTTTATTACTATTTTTAATTTCCTCTCTCTCTCTGGCTGAAAAATTACCTTTGCATTTCCAAATGGGTGGGAGATTGGGGATGGAGACCAAGGGGAAAATATTAAACAGCTCAAAAAAAATTCCATTGGTAGTTATAATGAGGGGGCATGATCATATTAATTTAATTGTAAAGGAATTCCTTGGGATTTACGCTGGATTCAACCAATCTCCGTGGTTGGGCAAGGCTGGTTGTGCTTAAAAAGTTATCAAGCATTCTGTTACAATAAAACTGAATTATCCTGCATAATAAATACAATGTATGGTGGCGAAAGAGGGTGTTTCAAAATGAGAGATCAAGAATTGTATGGTGGAGTGGAGGAAATCCCCATCCAAGAGTTTCTGGGAATCCCTTCAAATTTGGTGGGTCTATACTATGAATCCATTCTTCCAGGGGAAGAGAAGTCCAAGGATGCCTCTTTGCCAAATTTCCCTATTGGACATGGACAGCTAGAAGAGGTGAACCCCATGACTTCCAAGCCAAGGAAAGACTTGTGTGTCTCCAGACTTTCAGCTCAAGCTGCCATTATCTTTTTGGCTCTGAAATCAACAGTCCATTGTTGTAGTTTGTGATTTGGAAACTGGTCCTTCATAGATCTTTTGTTCTCCAGGTGTGTCACCTGATCATCTGTTCAATGGGCTTCTGAAAACTCACAGCTTACCAACCAACCCATAATTTTGTCAATGGTCAGCTCACAAGCCAAGAGACCCCCACCCACTATTTGTATAAAATTTTTGAGCACTTTGTGGAGACATCAATTGGGAGTCTTCTCTATAATGGACAAGGGGCAGTCTTCAAAAGCTCTAGAAATCTCAAACTGTTCTTTGGGCCATTGGGAAGGCCTTCAACATCAACATTTCCAGCAACCAATCTCCATCAGCGATGTCTTGTTTTCTCCTCTACTCAATCATGATCTTCATCTGGGTTGATTGACCCAAGGCAAACAGCAGCGAACATTCCTACCTGGATTTCTCTGAAGCTGAGAAGATCTGTCAAGGGGATTGAAGGAGAATCAAGGAATGAAG